TTGCTAATACTCACTTGCACAATTCTTCCACAGACTTCCTGACAGGGTTTTAAACAATCCTGTTTTCAGTATGCTTCATGGTTCTCGGCAGACATCACCTAACTCAGGAAATATTTTCTGAAACATTGTTCATATGTAGTTTGTGAAATGGGCAGTTTAGAAAAATCTTTATACCATTAAAAATAAGGTTTCCGGGCAGGGGTTGTGGCTCAGCAGTAGAGCACTTGCCTAGCACGTGCAAGGCGCTGGGTTCGAACCTCAGCACCACATAAAAATAAATAAAATAAAGATATTGTGTCCAACTACAACTAAAAATATATGTATATTTAAAAAATTTTTTAAATAAATAAATAAAAGTTTCCATGGCTGTGGAGACTGAGACAGGAGGATCCTGAGTTCAAAGCCAGCCTCAGCAATGGCAAGGAGCCAAGCTACTCAGTGAGACCCTGTCTCTAAATAAAATAGAAAATAGCGTTGGCGATGTGGCTTACTGGTCAAGTGCCCCTGAGTTCAAGCCCCAGTACCCCCACAAAATTAATTCCTTCTACATGAGAAATGAGGGAAGCTATCAAAGGAAGCTGTTTTTTTTTTTTTGTTAGAATGAAAGACTCCTACTGGCAAAAAACTTAATGTCTGGATCTTTTAAAGTTAACTTATCTGGTTTATATTTCTTGAACCAACAGTGGTAGGGACAAAAACATAGCAGTCAGTGCACTAGCTTGCAAACACTGTGTCAAAAAAAATTGTCTGAGCAACATAAATGAGCATACAGGTTGCTGCACTGTCCACTGGACTGAAGGGACCCAATCTGTAGTGTAAGACATAGTTCAGACCATTTGAATACCTCACAGATTCTTAAGGAAAAGGAAAAATTAGGGCTGGGGTTGTGGCTCAGTGGCAGAGAGCTTGCCTTGCACATGTGAGGCATTGGGTTTGATCCTCAGCACCACGTAAATAAATAAACAAACAAAATAAAGATACTGTGTCCATGTATAACTAAAAAATATTTAAAGGAAAATTAACTATAAGGATTGGAAAAGGCAGCAATAATTTTCCTGAGTTGAAGCCTAAATCATGGAAGATATAAATACATAGTCTGTATGTTTTTTTAATAATATGAAAAATAGACCTAATAAATTAACAAAATGGGTTGATTCAAAGCACTTTATTTAATGGCACTTAGCTTTTCAGCTGTTTGATTCTTTTTTAAGAAAAAACTCTCAAGAAAAAGGTTGTTGAGGCCCTCATTCAAGTGCCTTGGGAATAGCCTTAGCTCTATTCCGGAGTTTATTGAAGCTCTCCTGCTTCCCATAGCAATGTATTTCCAAATGATGAGATTTCTCTCTCTCTCTCTAGTGGTCTCTGCCCTTAACAAGGCCTGGTGTGTGAGCTGCTTTGCCTGTTCCACCTGCAACACCAAGTTAACACTCAAGTAAGGCTCTGAAGTGATCTAGTGTGAATCTTAAGACTGAAACTTTTGGGGTGATGCTTAAGAGAATATTCCTAGAATTTAAAAAGAATTATTTGATTCCTTATTTCTTCTTTCTCTTGAGATCTTCTGAAAGTAAAGTTTCTTCCTTTAATTGTTCCCTATTCTTTCTTCTGTTCCTTCTTTGTTCTGTTCAAAGGGATAAGTTTGTTGAAATTGATCTAAAACCAGTCTGCAAACACTGTTATGAGAAAATGCCAGAAGAATTTAAGAGGCGACTTGCCAAACGGGAGAGAGAAGCAAAGGATAAGGACAAGCAGAAAAAGAAAAAGCCAGTCTGTTTGTAAACTTTTCTGTCCCTTCTATCATCATTTTCACTACTTTCTTCTTTGGTTAGTCCTTCAGAATGTTTTTGTTCTGTTATGTCTTTTGCTTTTTTCCTCCTCCTTTCCCTTTTTCTTTTTGGCATGTTTTTGTAGCCATCAGAGATTGAAATACAACTATTTGTCCTATATGGAGTTGATCCTTTGGCTTAATTATTAAAAAGCTTATTAATTATTATAAAATATTATAAAGCTTATTAAGATGCATATTTAAACCAGCTTGTGCATATATCTTTCCCTTAATCTGTAGATTCATCTCTTTTTTAAAATCACAGTATAGCATAGATATCATTTCTTTCAAGGGAAAGAGTTCCAATCTTTCAATAATGGGAAAAATTTGAAAATATTTTTGTCTAATAACCACAGCTTTTAAAATCCTTATCTTTAGTTTCTTTGTCTTAAATAATTTAAGAAACTATAAGTATTGTTTGATAATTTTAAAACCACGTGTTCTAAGTTCTGTATTCAGTTCTCTCTGCATGTTTCACATTAAGCAAGTCTGTGTCACACAGTGAGGCATCTTCTCTCTGTGGTGGTTGAAAGTGTGCTTTCACATAGTGCCCGTGCATTTCTATTCATGAATGCATATCCTCAATGTTTTCAAACTTTTTGATCCCTGATTTTTATGGGTAGTATTTCAATCTTTATCATTCTGTCCGTTGAATTACTAAGTACATTTGTTTCATTTTCCCCTCATGGTTATCATCGTTTTGAGCTCTAAAAACTTTTCATTGTTTCAGTTTTCATGTTTCCTTATATAGAGGAATTAAAATGCAAGTATAAACTTAAAATGATGGAATGCATACTAAATAGTTTCTCTGAAAGCAGGAATAATTTAAACTTTTAAAAAATAGCAGTTTTAATAGTTTTTGTTACAAGATTTTGGAATAAATTTTTAACTTAATCATACTATTTAAATCAAACTGTAGCTCCTTGAAGCATTTGAGTTGCCAGTTGAAATGTAACATTTGGATTACCATCAACATAGTGTCTCTTTGAAGCACAGCTGGAAAATAATTCCTACTTTAGTATTCTAAAAATAGAAACATTTTCATTTTAAGTGTGAGGATTGGAATTAGCTTTGTTATTAACATTGCTCTTTAAAATTACCCAAGTGGTTCAGTGCTTGCCTAGCACCTGTAAGGCACTGGGTTCTATTCTCAAGCACCACATATGAATAAGTAAATAAAATAAAGGTCCATCAACAATTAATAAAAATATTTTAAATAAATAAATAAAATTACCCTGAACCAAGTCTAGTGTACTTTAAAAGTACTGTAAAAAGAGGCCGGAGTTGTAGCTCAATGGTAGAGCACTTCCTGGCACTGGGTTCAATCCTCAGCACCATATAAAAATAAATAAAGACATTATGTCCAGATACAACTAAAAAAAAAAAAAATATTGTAAGAACTATATCAGCAGATTTTATGTTTGTAATAGATGACAATGCACCATTAGGCTTGTTCTGCCGATGTTTTCTAAATATAATTTTACAGATTTATATACAGTTAAAAATATATAATCTTATAACTTAATTTTACAAATTAAGTTATAAGGTTTTCTATTTTTAACTCAAAATTAAACAGCCTGTATTCCAATAGGAATAAGCTATTGTACTTCCTATTGGAAGTATATTACAGGTGGTCCAGAGGCCCTGAAAAGTTTTCTTCTCCAGGGCTTTTTACAAATAAATTAGTCATATGTATTTGTCTTAGCTTTTAAAAAAAGAATTGAGTTTTCCATACAACCACCAATTATGAAATATCTGAGGGAGACCTGATTACCTTTGTGTTCCTTAAGAGTGATTAAAAACTTTCCTTTATCTCCCTCCCCAACTTTTTGTCAGGCAACTAAATTAATTAACCCATTATGATTTAAAATAATTAAAAAAAGATTTAAGGTGAGATTTTTGTTGTTGTTGGCGGGTAGGATGAAAAAAGCATTTTATACCAAGAAAGATGAAAACTTAGAGCTAATTTAAAGTACTAAGTAAGATTATTTTGCCTCAAATAAAGAATTCATTCACATTATAAAAACCAATTTGCTTTAAATAAGTTTATTCTTTAAGGTCTCATGGTACTTTAAAATGCGATTGACTTTGCTTATCTAAATTATGTTTACCTTAATTTTCCTGTTTACCTAGTACTAAGTAAAATGTAATATATATTCTGTGTTATTCAGATAGATGTATAGGAACAAATTTAAGGACTGTTGTTTTAAACTGATAATGTGAACTTTTACATTTATCACAGTAAGAATTAAGATTGGAGTTATAGTTCCTTATTTATATGACTATAGATATTATCATATAGTGTCTTTATTTAGTCTAACTGAATTATTTCACATTATTTATGTCTGTGTTTATTATATTTCCACTAATATCTTTTTCATATATATTAATCATTGTCTTTAGGAATAAATTTGTGGAGTTTGACATGAAGCCAGTCTGTAAAAAGTGCTATGAGAAGTTTCCACTGGAGCTGAAGAAAAGACTTAAGAAACTAGCTGAGACCTTAGGAAGGAAATAACTTCATTATACTTTTTCTTTTCTATACAAAGATGAGATTACCAATGTTACTTGAGTTGATCCACCCTTATTTAAAACTGTGTATTGCAAAGCTGTTGAGAGTTAAGAATAGTTTTCTTCATCTCTTCTGTCTCATTCAAAAAGTAATATAATCATGTTTAAAACACGGATGGAAATTAAGATTTGCCTATTCACCCATATTAGTTTATTGACATTTTGACTATATAGCAAAAAAAACCCACATGGTTAAATGTTAAATTTTAATTAAGGTTCCAAAGTGATGCATAACTGTGCAAAATGAAAGGAGTGGGCTTTTACCTGACTCAATTTTTTTTTTAAACAAATAAACTTTGTGGTCAAAATTGCCTCCCACTGCTATTGGAGAGGATATTGGGAAGAAAAATGACCACCCAAGAAAAGCAAATCTTAGTATGTTTATCAAGCTGGTAGCTATAAAATGAGTATACACATTACCAAGACAAGAAACAAGAGTATTCAGAACTACTTGATTTTTTTTTTTTTTTTGGTAAATGCAATAATTATTATGCTTACTTTTCTATTTTGTTTGTGAACTCTTCCTCTCTATAATTTACTTGATACATAGTTGTAGCTAGCTAGTAGTATACATTTAAATTTTTCTGGAAAAAAATGACACCAGGTATCTGAAAATACAACATACTTTATAATATTAAAAATAAAGTTTTTTTAACGCGTTACATCAATTATGCTTCTAAGCTTAATGTCAAAACACGTATTCTTCAAATAGGATATGAAATTAAATTTATGTAGCTTGGAATGTATCACTTAAGAAAAGTGAATGTGGGATTGGGGATGCAGCTCAGCGGGAGAGCACTTGCCTTGCATGCATGAGGCCTTGGATTAAGTCCCCACCACTGCAAAAAAAGAAGGAGAAAAAAAAAGGATGTGTATGTATTGGTCATATATTTCCTTTATAATCATGCTAATACATACGCTTCGTACATAATCAAACTTGCTTTGCCTTAGAAAAATACACTTTAATCAGGAATTATAGCTATTTCATATAATACCAACTAAAAGCTAAAAATAAGTGCATTGTCTGAGATTGGTAAACTCAAATTCACTTATCACAGTTAACTTAAAAAGTTTTTTCCCTCAATTTTGGAGAAAGCCTATAGATATCAATTCCCGTCATCTTATTAGACAAGAATGATGTTTATGTTCAGGTTTTCCATCTCAAATCTCAAGATCAATTGGATTTATCTACTGTAAGTAGGAGGTATAAATTATAAAATAGTACTCTTAAACTGCAAGAGGGATGTTTTAATATCACTTTTAGGTCAAAATTAGTGAATTATTCTATTTTATTTAAAAAAATTATCCTGAAATTTCTGGTCCTTTCTTTTTGGATAAACTTGTTATATAAAGCTTTATGAACATTTTAAAAATGTTACTGCTGCTGTATTATTTAAAAGGAAAGTTGCCAAGATAGACCTCTAGAAGGAAATTACCGGTTTTTCAAAAAATTGCTGACATATTGCTTTGCCATAAAGAATATCTCAGGATGCTACCACTCTGCCATTAAAATGTTGTTATGCATGAAGTAAATTTTGATCATGCATATTATAGAATAAATTCTATTTCTGTTTTTGATAACTTTTAACCAATTTATTTTTTAGTGTTCTTTTAGAGATAAAAGAATTATAAATGATCAAAAATAAATAATCAGTATATCATTGTAAGATTGTATGTGCTCAGTAGTTTAAAACAATCTTTGCATTTGACTAGAATCAAAATCCCATTGGTGTGCCTTTGTCAGCTAATAATGACCAGCAATGAAAACCTTGAAAGTATTTATTAAATATTATACTATGCATATAGGCAAAATAGGACAGTTTATACTATAGGGTCTTGTATATACCCCTACATTAGAAATATGGATCAGAAAAGCAAGCTTTTGTATGTGTGTTTATGGTACTAGGGATTGAATCCAGTGCTTTGCATATGCTAGTCAAGTGCTGTAACATTGAATTCCATTTCCAGCCCTCCTTTATGTATATTCTTGATCACTCTGAAGATGTGTGGACTGAACTCTCTTGCCTTTGTTTACAAGTCATACATAGCCAGGTGCCTCCGATAGCCAGAGGCCCACTGCTGTCTTCGCTTAGTCCTCCTTTAAAATATGAATGAACAATATTTCCCAAAGTTCAACTTATTAGGCCTCTAGTACTTTATAGTATCTAGATACAGTGTTTTCTTCCTTGATAGGGGTATCATTGGAGCCCTTATGCATGGGAAAGGAGGAAGAAATTGAAGTTTTAAGTGAAATAGAAGATAAACTTGATCCAGTTCATATTTTACATTGGACTTTCCTTGGCTGCTGAAAAACTCAGGCCAATAAGCAGCTCTTTGTTTAAAACAAAGTCCTACAAGGCAATCTGAAATAATTCATTGCTCTTGCCAAGTTTCAGTGTGCTCTTTTTTCTTAGCAAGCCTAATGTAATATGAGTAAAATATTCTATGGATAATGTTCAAAGCCTTATTAACATTGTACCTGAAATAATAGGTCATTTTGCCTCATCCATTTGCCAAAATAACCATTTCTCAGATAAGGAAATTTTGAGATAGGCTTATAAGCATTCTGTATTTCATTTTAGATTGTAAGCTCAATGGCAGGGAACTATATCAATAATTACGTTTTTATATAGCAACCATTGCAGTGTACTCTTGGTGCTTAATAAATGTTCATAGTTATTAACAATAATCTGTTGTATATCATTTAATTTGAATGACATAGTTGAAGAATATATATGAAGATCAAAATATTTATGCAATATTATAAAAACATGCTCTGTTCATTATACATGCTATTTTTCAATTCTTAGCAAAATACATACATGTCTTAATACAGAATTCATCAAGTCCTGAGTCACTATGTGTAGCATGTTGGGAAGATGGTGGTAGCCAGATCATTTCCTTCCAATGTTCAGTCATCCCTTGGCTCTTCACTTGCCTTAAAACTTCCTGAATAGGGAGATTCCTGGGGCTCTGTGTGAGTTGAGTCTTGGCATTTCTTTTCCTTCCCAGGGAAAGTAAGACAGGCCATTACAACTCCATATAGGAAGTATCCTGATGGAGTAACACGGCAGCGGCAGGACCTCCAGGGATCGGGGAAGGCTTTCTAGAGGAGCTGTACCTTGTGAGAAATAGAAGTTAGCCATGCAGGGAAGGAGGCTAGAAGGGCCTCCCAAGTTGAAGCTCTGTCACTTTCCCTCTCACCTCGGTTGAGGCCTCCATCATTTAGATTTACTGGTTTTGCCTCCTCTTCCCCAAGTGAATACCCTTATTTATTGTGGTGCAGCCTCTGGAACTTGAAGTCTTAGCCCAGGCCTCCTCTATCCCATGCCCAGAGAGTTAGATCTGGTCTGAAAAAGACACAACCAACCCATGTTGCTTTTGCTCCAGCTCTGTCCTCCAGCTCTCTATGGTGTAATTAAAAAGCTTCAATTTTCTGATTGGAAGACTGTAAGAGAAGTTCCCGCAAACAAAAATAACAGGGAGGTTGTTGAAAGAGTTGCTCAGAAAAGCAAAAACTTTATGTTATGAACCCCTGGGCTCCTTCCTAAATAGTTCCTGCATAGATCCATAGGATCCCGTTTTACACACCAAGGACTTATGAGAATGGAACTGGGCAATTCCTGCTAACAAATATGCACACATGCTATGGTCCCTAACTGGCCACTGGGTGGCACCCAAGTGAGACAGAACTAAATAACCTAAAAACTTTGTTAATTGACTGCTGAAGAAGGATTAGAATTTAACCAGGAAGTTTGCCTACCTTGACAAAAATATCTGTATTTGTGCGGCTGGAGTTTAGCTTGGTTCTACAGTGCTTCCCTAGCATGCGCAAGAGCCTGGGTTTGATACCCAGTGCTGAAAAAAAAAATTCTAAATGGGATATAACTTCTTTCAGTGATTTTTTTTTTCAACTCCACAATGTTATACAGTCATCCCACAGTCTTATACAAAACATTTACCTCACTTGCAACAGCAACAAGAGCCCCATTCATAGTAGCAGTCACACGATTTCCCCCCATCCCTTCTCTGCCCCTCCTTTCACAACCACTTGTCTACTTTCTGTCTCTGAATTTGCCTACTCTGGGCATTTTATAAAAACAAAATTATATAGTGTGGGCTTTTATGATTTGTTTCTTTTTTATGTGTATCAGTATTCAGTCCTTTTATAATAATATAATCCTGTTGTATGACTATACTACTTTTTTAAAAAATTCGCTCTTCAGCAGATAAGACATTTAGGTTGTTTTCACTTTGGGCTGTTAAGAATGGTGCTGGGACTGGGGTTGTGGCTCGGTGGTAGATCGCATGTCTAGCATGTATAGGCACTGGGTTCAATTCTGAGCACTTCATATAAATAAATAAGTAAAATAAAGGTACATTGACAAATATTTTATATATATATATATATATAAATGGGGGTTAGGGTTGTAGCTCAGTGGTAGAGCCCTTGCCTAGCACATGTGAGGCAAGTTTTACACTTCTTTGATTAAATTCATTCATAATTATTTTTTATGCTATTGTAAATGGGATTATTAATTTCAGTTTGTCCGTAGTGTGCATAGACAACTGCTTTTTGTATATTGTACAACGTTAGTGAGTTGTTGTCTATGATAGTTTTTTTTTGTGTGTGTGTGTGGGGGGGGTGCTGGGGATTGAACCCAGGGCCTTGTGCATGCAAGGCAAGCACTCCGCCAACTGAGCTATATCCCCAGCCCCTATCTATGATAGTTTGTTTTTTTGTTAGTTTGTTTTTAGTAGGATTGATTAGGGATTTATATGTCTGAGATCTTGGTGTTTGTGAATATAATTTTATTTCTCACATTCCTATATGGATTTTAAACAAAATAGTTGTAGATGGACACAATATTTTTATTTTATTTATTTATTTTTATGTAGTGCTAAAGATCAAACCCAGTGCCTCACACATGCAAGGCAAGCACTCTGCCACTGAGCTACAACCCCAGCCTCCTACATGGATTTTTAAATTTATTTTTCTTTTTGATCAATCTGACTAGAACCTTCAGTACAACAAATAGATATAGTGAAATAAGACATTCTTGTCTGACCCATTCATTCGTTGTTGTTTGTTTTGTTTTGTTTTTGGTACCAGTGATTGAACCCAGGGTACTTAACCACTAAGTACATCCTCAGCACTTTATTTTTTATTTTGAGACAGGGTCTCACCAAGTTGCCTAAGGCCTTGCTAAATTGCTGAGGCTGGCTTTGAACTTGCAATCCTGCTGCCTCAGCCTCCCAAGCTTCTGGTATTACAAACATGTGCCACAGCACCTGGCAACCCATTCATCCCTTCACAATTAGTATGTCAGCTGTGGAGTTTTTGTATACTCCTTTGATCAGTTGGGGACATTCCCTTCTATTCCTAGTGTGTGGAGTTTTTCTATCACGAAAGGTGGTTGGGCTTTGTTAAGTGCATTTTCTGAATCTACTGAGATGAATCTATTGACGTGTGAAACAGTAACTCCCCATTTTCTCCCTATACCCTTCAGTTACTGGTGAACAGAATTTGACTTTCTATTCTATGAATTTGACTACTTTAGATACCCTATACAAGTGAAATCATACAGTATTTGTATTTTTGTGATTGGCTTATTCCACTTAGCATAATGACCTCAAATTTCATTCCTGTTGTAGCATGTAACAATTCCCTTCACTTTTAAAGCAGAATAATATTATTTTCTGTGTATATACACATTTTGTTTATCCACTCACTTGCTGATGGACATTTGGGTTGCTTCTATCTCTTGGCTATTGTGAATAATGCTACTATGAATTATATGTGCAATTAACTCTTCTAGGTCCTGTTTTTAATTCTCTTAGATAGGTACCCAGAACTGAGATTGCTAGATTATATGGTAATCCTATTCTTTTCTTTTTGAGAATCCTGTTTTCGGTAATCCTTTCACTCTATTAAACTTTTTGCTTACTACTCTGTTTTGCTTGAATTCTTTCTGGTGAAGTCACAAGGCCCAGCACAAGGACTACAGTGGCTGCTCTGATTCAACCCAGCAGGCCTCCAGTTCCATAACATTTAAGACTCCAGTTCTTTGAAATTTATTGATGTTTGTCTTTTGCCCTAACATATGGTCTGTCCTGGAGAACGTTTCATGTGCACTTAAGAAGAATGTGTTTTGCTGTTGTTTTCTTTTGGGGGGGAGACTGGAGATTGAACCCAATGCTAGGTAAGTTGTCTATTGCTGAACTACATTCCCAGACTTGTCATTTTTTTCTTGAGGCAGGGTCTCATTAAATTGCCCAGACTGTCCTTGGATTTGTCATCCTCCTGCCTCAGACTACCAAGTAGCTGGGATTATAGATGTGTGCTACCGTATTTGGCTGTTGTTAGTTGTTTCATAGATATCTTGTTTGTTTATAGTATTGTTCAAGTCTTCTATTTCCTTTATTATCTGGATCTAGTGTATCCATCCAAGATTGTTCTTTAATATTTGGTGGTTGAGCTGGGAGTGGTACACCTAACTATAATCCCAGCTACTCTGGAGGCTGAAGCAGGAGAATCACAAGTTTGAGGCCAATTTAGCAAGATCCTGTCTCAAAAAATAAGAAGGGCTGGGGATGTAGCTCAGTAATAGAGCATTCTTAGGTTCAATCACCGGTACAGCAAAAAGAAAAAAAATGATGGTTGAAAGCAAAAATTATAACATTAGTGGAGTTTATGTTGCATGTAAATGTTACATGAAGAGGGGAAAGGTAAAGATATGTATATAGTTTATGTTTTTCTACATTTCCGCCTGAAATAGTAATATATTCATCCTAAATAGTCTTGACAAAGTTAAATAACTTGCAATCCTTAGTATCAACACTTCAGTATTCAAAGAAATATTTTCAAAAGCAATAAATAAATCCTAATGCTAAAAATTATTCTAATAACCAAAAAGAAGGCAGAAAAAAGTTAGAAGAGGTTCATGTAAAATGGAATAAACAGAAACATAATAAAATGATATATAGTCAAATACCAATAATCACATTAAATACAAAAGAAATAAACTTAATAATTAAAAGATATTGTCAGAATGTATAAAAACAATATCCAGAGGTATGCTGTTTACATGCAATTTGCTTTAAATGTGGTATATGTAGATTAAAGATAAAGGATGAGAAAAACATTCCATAAAATACTAACCAAGAATGGGAGCGGGGCCTGGGGCTATAGCTCAGTGGCAGAGCACTTGCCTAGCATGTGTGAGGCATTGGGTTCAATCCTTAGCACATAAAAAATAAACAAAAAATAAAATAAAGGCATTCTTTTCTTCATCTACAACTACAAAAAAAAAAAAATTAAAGAATGGGAGTGGTCAGGGGCCGGGGTTTTAGCTCAGTGGTGGAGCACTTGCTTAGCACATGTGAGGCATTGGGTTCTATCCTCAGCACCACATAAAATAAATAAATAAAATAAAGGTATTGTGTCTATCTACAGCTGGTTAAGTTAGCTTTCTTTGCCATGTGACTTAAAGATCTGAGCAGAGCAATTATAGAGGAAAATTTTATTTGGAGGTTTTCAGAGGTCTCAGTCTGTAGAGAGCCGGGTCCATTCCTCAGGGCTCAAGGTGAAGCTGAACATCATGATGGAAGAGTATGGCAGTGGGAAGCAGCTCACATGAGGATAAGGAAGCAAGAGAGAGAGGCTCCACTCTCCAAATACAAAATATATACCCCATAGCCTTGCCCCCAATTAATCACTTCCTCTAGCTACACCCCACCTGCCTCCAGTTACACTCAGTTAATTCCATCCAGGATGAATTCGCTGATTAGGTTAAGACTCTCACAACCCAATGATTTCTCCTCTGAAACTTATTGCATTGTCTCACACTGAGCTTTAGAGGGACACCTCACATCCAAACCATAACAACAACTAAAAATATATTTTAAAAAAGAGTTTGATGCTGGGGTTGTGGCTTGCCTAGTACGTGTGAGGCACTGGGTTCAATTCTCAGCACTACCTTAGAATAAATAAATAAATGCCACATTTTTTTATTCACTCATCCACTGAAGGACATCTAGGTTGGCTCCACAGTTTAGCTATTGTGAATTGTGCTGCTATAAACATTGATGTGGCTGTGTCCCTGTAATATGCTGTTTTTAGGTCCTTTGGGTACAGACCGAGAAGAGGAATACTGGGTCAAATGGTGGTTCCATTCCCAGCTTTCCAAGGAATCTCCATACTGCTTTCCAAATTGGCTGCACCAATTTGCAGTCCCACCAGCAGTGTATGAGTGTACCTTTTTTTCCCCCTGCATCCTCGCCAGCACTTATTGTTGTTTACGGCTTCATAATGGCTGCCACTCTTACTAGAGTGAGATGGTATCTTAGA